AAAAAAAAAAAAGGATGGATGTTGGGAAGACACACTGAATGTTTGCCTTGTGTGTTTGCTAGCATGGGGTTTAAGAAGATGAAGAGGAGAAGAATATAAAACTAACTGAATTATTGGTCATTTTATTTAATGAAACACCTTATTAAAATATAGTGCCAAATCATCTTTTGATTGTTACCACCAATTCTAGGGAATGAATTCTGGTTGGTCAGTTATGGCAGTCCATTGCCCATCACCAGCATCCGGCTTAGGGGTCAACATGGGATGCTGTTTGGCCCATTAGTATACAAAAGGTAGTCTGCTGGATGTTTTATTTGGGATGTGTGTGTGTTGAAATATTTTCTTCTAAATAAAAAGATTTGATGGGTAAAAATGTTTTGACCCCATTCAACTATTATTGTGGGTGTGTGTGCTATGGTAGCCATTTTGTGACCATTAGGAGGACTGTAACCAAGGATGAAAAGCAAACTTGTTGTGATCACAAGTCGTAGAGGTCGACAGGACAGGGCCTCGTTTCTTGGTGACAGTGTTGGACTGGCCCACTACAACTGGGTGGCTTAGTGTCAGACTTTGTATCTCCTGGGATACTTAAATATCTTTATGAAGAAAGTGATGGTTCATTTGATACTTGATCTTGAAGTGGTACAGTTTTCCACTTAATTCCTTTGTGCATATGGCTCCAGTTCATATCTTTTCAAATATATCTTTGATAGTATTTCTGATATTTCCTATGATCAAATTCTAATATGTGAAATGATTGACTTAAGTGTGTTTAAAACTTTTTCTTTTTTTGCATTTTTAAAGGCAGAGTTTATTAGGAAAAAAAATAGAAAGAAAAAGAGAGGCACCTGCATAGTCACAGGTGGGCAGAAGAGCTGCAGCTTGCCTGCTTTTAAGACTTCTTCTTTTTTTTTTTTTTTTTAGATTTATTTATTTGTACATACAGAACTGGGGTACAGGCCAGAGACTCAGGGGCAGTGAGAGACTTCATCAGAGACAGAGTGGGGAGCAGAACAGGCAGATCTACAAAGTACACTGCTGAGGGGAGCAGCGGGCGGGCCAGGAGAGGTCTGCCACGCCATGTTGTCTCCTCCGGGGCAGCGGAAGTGGCTTTAGCTTCTCAGTGCAGTACTTTAACCCGCTGCGCCACCAGGGAGGGCCATGAAAACTTTTTATATAAAGTTTTTTTGTAAACTTTTTATATAAAACTTTTTACAAATTGAGTAATGAGAGGAAATGGTTAGAATCGAGTCTAACTTTTATCTCTAAAAGATAAAACTATTTTAGAATCTAGTGTAAAGTCTCGAGCGCAGTGAACCACAGCACGTTCGTATTTACATGCATGGTAAATAAATGAGAAGTAATTTTTGAAATGGTTTGAGTAATTGAATTTAAATTGTGTCCTAAGTAAGCATGAGATGAGTCCTTTGTTCTGCCTTTCCACTCACAATGGGAGAAAATTGCACTGAACTAAATGAACTCTTGGTGGTTAAAGGTTGTTCATGGAGCATTAGTCCTAAGTACAAGTCAGTTATAGCACCTGGTGCTCAACAAAGACATAACAGTTGTTTTAAAGTTGCTGAGAAAACCAGACAAATCGATCTTACTTTTTAGGTAGATAGTCAAAATTCACAAATCAGGAAAGTTCATTGTGAACTGTGGGTGCCTTAAATTCACTTTGTGTCATCTAGGTGGACAAAAGGTAATGATAGAAGCTAAGAAAAATAAGCACAATCCCCCTACTGTTGAGTGAATTTCCAAAGTCTCTAAAGATGGAGGAGACCATTCTATGTGATTGACGAGCTTCCCTATTCTGATATACTCAATAGACAGGAAGTCAAAAGTATGGATGTTGGGGGCCCTCCCTGGTGGCGCAGCGGGTTAAAGCACTGCAGTGAGAAGCTAAAGCCACTTCCGCATGAGTTCGATTCCCACCTGCCCCAGAGGTGACCACATGGCGTGGCAGACCTCTCCTGACCCAC